GCAGGGAGGAGGGGGAGGAGAGCCACGAAACGCTGTATTGAGTGTGCGGGACGCATGCGGACGGTAGCACTGGGACCTTCGGTGGAGCTCGCTATGGGGTCACGAAGCGCTGTACTGGGTGTGCGGGACGCATGCGGGCGGTAGCACTGGGACCTTCGGTGGGGCTCCCTATGGGGCCACGAAACGCTGTGCTGGGTGTGCGGACGGTAGCACTGGGACCTTCGGTGGGGCTCCATATGGGGCCACGAAGCGATGTACTGGGTGGGTGAAACGCAGGGAGGAGGGGGAGGAGGGCCACGAAACGTTGTACTGGGTGTGCGGGACGCATGCGGACGGTAGGAAGGATGGGGGTGAGGAGGAGAAGAGGAGAACGCGGGGCGACGTCTCTTCAAAACGAGGACCCAACACGTGATGGTTGGGACAAAATCCATTACACGGAGTGTGCGGCAAAGTTTGTTACCATGGTCACTAATATTCCGCAGCCAGTTTTCCAGTCGCACCCGATGATCATGCGCAACATGTGAACGACGAGCTAGTTAGGGCGGTCATCGAGTGATTCCCCGTGCAGAAGTCGCCAACGGGGCGTTTGCCGCGTCAGTCATGGCTCTCGGTTCGCTCGCTGATGCTCATGGACCGTCGCTCGTCTGAACGACGAGAGCTACGTATGTTGCGAAGACGACTCAACTTACTGCTGCTTGCTGCTGCCTTTTGTGCGTGGGCCACAGATAGGAAGGAAGTGGAGGAGTGGTTGGACTACCGACAGAGCAGGTGGAGGTGGTCAGTGCGAGAGGGTCCCTCTCGTGCGTTGCGCATTGATGCATGCGACGCATTTGCGCATGCCGGGTCACAGGTTTGCGAGGCGGCAGTGGAGTTTACGCAGCCCTTGCAGGATGTAAGAGGTAGGTTGTATGCCCCTCCGTTCCATGTCGTGCATCTGGAGGCCTTGTGGAAACTGTGCCGTGTACCGACACTTGGGGGCCACGTAGGTCACCTGCAGCCCAATGACTGTCCCCTGGTAGGTATTCCACGTGCCATGTATCAACTACAAGGTATTGTACCCAACTTCTGGAGGTGGCAGGGTCTCTTGTGGGCCTTGACATACGTATTCATGCGTGGTGCGGCGTTTGTGATCAACAAATCTACCACATTGGACGCCGCCAAGCACTGTGATGACATTGTGACCGGCATTCAGGATGCGTGATCCAGGGGGCAGGCAGCGGAGGCATTCGCGGCCTTATGCCGTGTCGGTGCAGGGTCCCGCCGCGAGCGCATGCTTAAAGGGCTGCCCATCCTCAAGGATATGCATGCGCAGCCAGTAACTTCGCAGCTTCAGGCAGCCCGTCGTTGGCAACAGCACTTTGGCACGCTAGAGCGGGCAGCTACTTTCGAGCTTGCAGACGTGGCTCGGCTTGCTGGGCATTTCGCACGGGTGCCGTACGATCGGATGTCCCCCGATGCGGTGCCTAGTGATGCACTACCATCCCTGTCTGAGTTTCAGCATGCCTGCCGCCTGACCAAGCGCGCTGCCCCTGGCTGTGATGGTTTCACGGGAGCTCTGGTGCGCGCTTTCTCTACTGAGCTCGCCGCCCTGTACTGCCCGTTGCAACTCAAGACCGACGTCACCCGAATAGAGCCTATTCAATGGAAAGGAGGTTTCTTTCGTGATTTGCTGAAGTCCATCACGGCCGACCCCAGTGCCTGTATCAGCTCCCGCTCTATTCTGGTGTCCTCACAGCTTGGTCAGGCATCGCGATGATACTTGCGGACTCGGTTGATGCCAGCGCTGCTCGCCACAGCAGGGGGGGCTCAGCTTGGGGGAATACCAGGTCGAGGTACTGGCCATGCGTCAGTCATCATTCGTCTTGTGCAAGCTGTTGCGGCTGCCCGTGCTCTGTCTTTTGGCGTGTTATCCTTGGATGTGGTGCAGGCTTTTTTGCCGTGCCTTGCGGGGGCTACTACTTCGATCGCCGCTAGACGATGATGCCGTTGCTTGTGCTGTCAGGGCGGCAGGTCTACTGGCGAGTGCCATGCATGAGCTCGCAATGCGTATGCGTGAGCTGACACTTATTGTTGAACAGCAAGTGGTGAACGGTACACTACATGCGCACACAGCAGCTCTGATTTCACAATGCTACCATGCCCTCTGGTTCCTGTGTGAGGGTTCCGACCAGGTGTCCTTGCCACAGCGTTCGGTTTTCCATGGGCAGCCTCTCGCTGATATATGGTACGAGATGCTTATGGGTGATTGCATGCACGCTGTACGAGCTAAATTGGACGTTGAAGGACTAGCCCATGCACTTGCCTGCAGACGAGCGCAGCAGCGTGCACAGTATAGTAACGGATGCCGACACTGCTACCGCTGTGCCGGTGTTGGATATTATTTTTGCGGATGACGGCGCCGTCATTGTGATTGTCCCTGCTTCCGACCTGTATCCTGCCATGTGCCGTGCACTTGCCGTGGTTGCCGATGTGTGTGCTAACAGAGGACACCTACTCAACCTCGGCGTTGTAAAAACGTTTGTCTTTTGGCCTACCGAGGAAAAAGGGTCGAAGAAGACGAAGTAGCATGCATGGCGCGAGTGTGGCGGGCATGTGGTTGCGCAGACACAGCTACTTGGGACCGTGCGGGCACCGATTGTCAAGCATTATGTACATCTTGGTTCAGTTATTGTTTCCCAGGGTAACATGGGGCCCGAGGTCCGATATCGAGCCAGCAGTACCACAGCTACTTTACGGGTTTTGCGCACTAGGTTTTTTTTCCACCAAGGTTCTTGCCGATCCGACATGTATGAGGTTCGCCGACAGTCTTGTGTCATTGGGGCGTCTCTACAACTCGGGCGTTTAGACTACGCTAACAACGGCGGAGGCCAAAATGGTTGACGCTGAAGTCATGAGCGTTTACCGAGCGGCGGCGAAGTTTCGTTTTGTGGAAGCCGAGTCGCGCATAAGTGATGGTCAAGTGCTGGCCAGACTCAGAAGAGGCCTGCCCGACGTCCTAAGAAGAGCTGCGCGTTTGCGACTGCTGGGTTCACTACTGCACGCGGGGCCCAAACTGGTTTTTGCCTTGCTACGGGCCGAGTGGTGCGACGCTACTCCCAGCGGTTGCCGTGCCAGGACATGGCTGGGAATGGTCATGGATGATTGCTCGTGGTTACGTGCTGCTGCTGTAGCTTGTGCTTCCCTCCCGCCACCGCTTGAGGATCTCAGTGAATGGGAGTCCTTCGTCCTACGAAAGCAAACAGCTTGGCAACGCATTATCAAGACGGCGTTACACGCCACGGCCGAATCTCATGCTCGAAATGTTGAGGCGGCCATAGTGGGGGCCAACTTTTTCAGGAAGTCCGTCCCCTCCCCTGGGAGTGCCAGAACGTGTTTGGACGGACGTTAACGGACTTCTTGTAGACCCACCTACATGTGCAGCAGACGACACATAATATGACAGTGTCAAGTGTCCATGGTGTGCGCGCGCTTTCCGAAAGCATGGGGCATTATGGCCATCTGGGGGCCACCTTGTGCGTCTTGGGGCGATCTTTCGGCGATTCGGGGCCCTTTTGGACCGTGTCGAGGGCCTCTCGAGGCTCTCTTGGCTCGTCTTGGGGCCCTCTCGGGCCCGAGGACTTCCCGCGCGACCACTTCCCGGAGCCCAAGGGGGGCACGCGACAAGCCCCAGGGGGCACGCGCCAGGCCCCGGGAGGAGTGGAGAACGAGGGGGTCCCGGGCCCCGAGAAGAGCCCTCATGAGCGAGGGTTGAGGCGAGGAGGGGTAGGCAAAGAGCCCGAGGACACGCCCACTCCGTGCCCAGAGGCACGGTGGCGGATTCCGACACGCACTTCTCGTAAGGTCCCGGCTGGAGTCCCGTCCTCGTGAGGCCTCAGCACGCTTTTCTCACAGCGGGAAGCCCTCCCCCTTGAGATGCGAGCTCTCCATCAGCCTGCCATTCAGGCCAGAGCTCCGATTTGAAACGGATACACCCTGCGTCCTTCCAGCCACAAGAGATGCACATAACACGTCTGTTAGTGCGACCAGGAGGTACATTGAAGAGGGATAAGATGGTGTGTGTGGGGAATGATGATTAGGAGCATGGGTAGGCAGGAGGCAGGAGGAGAAAGAGCCCCTCTTCCTCCTCCTCCTCCTTCTCTTACTTCCTCGTCCTCCCTCATTGTTGTCATCGTTGTCGTCGCCGTTGTCCTCTTCCTCTTCTTCTTCATCTTCTCTACTTATCAACCTCCTCCTGCTTCTTCTCTTTTTCTTGTTCTCCTTTCCCCTCCTCATCCTTCTTCTTTCATCTTCATTATCTTTCTTCCTACCTTCCTCTTCCCTCTTCTCTCTTCACTCTTGCTCCTCCTTCGTTGCTTTTTTTGTCGCTCGCCTCCCTTTGCTCTTCTCCCTCATCCCTCCTATCTTCCTTCTGCCCTCCTCCCTCCTCCCTCTTCCCGCCTCCCTTGTCTTCTCCCCTTCGAATCCATCTCCCTTCCTTCCCTTCGTCGTCGCCCTTGTAGTCGTTGTCGTTGTCCTACTCCTCCTCCTGCTCCTCCTCCTCCTTTTCCTTATCCTGCACCTCCTCCGTTTCTTGCGTCGCGCATTCCAGGGCCGGGCCTCAGCCCTGAAATTTCCGCTGCATCTTCCCTCTGCCCCGACACCCCCCCTGGTCGCGATTCCCGACGCCCAGAAGGTCGCCAGGTGCGAAGTTTGAGCAGATTTGTTGAGATGTCGGCGGTTGCGTTTTCGTTTTGAGCAGATCTGATCAACTTCTTCAGAGGTTGCAACTCCTGGCAGGTTAGATTCAGCATCGGCGCTTTTATTTCCTCGTGTTTAGTCCAGCCTGGTCCGGCCAAGTCAACTTAACCCAGATGTCTCGGGATTAACGCGGTGATTCTGAGTGTTCAATCCAGGCTCATAACCCCGCAATAAGGCTGGATATCTGGTGATCGTTTCCATCAGGACTTCCCAGGAGCCGACTCCCAAATCCACGACCTGGCGACCCTCGGGCCTCCGGGCAGGTGTGCTGGGCGCCGGTGGAGGTCGGGGTGCTGCTGGCGTCCGCGTGCAGCGACGGGTGCGTGGTGATCTGGGGGCGCGGAGCGCACCCGGGTGAGTGGCAGGCCGGCGTGGGTGGGGGCGGGGCGGGGGAGGGGGGCAGGTGGCCCCAGCTTGCACCCGGGGGGGGGTGCGTTGCCGTCGACGTCGTCGTCGTCGTCGTCGTCGTCGTCGTCGTCGTCGTCGTCGTCGTCGCCACGGTCGGGGGAGGAGGAGCATGCGGAGGAGGAGGAGCAGAAGCAGAGCAGGAAAGGGGAGGAGGATTAGGGGGGTGATCGCCATGGGCAGAGAAGACGGAGCAGGAGGAGGAGGAGGAGGAGGAGGAGGAGGAGGCGGAGGAGGAGGAGGAGGAGGAGGAGGGATGAAGGGCAGGAAACGATGAGAGAGAGGAAGGGATGAGACAGGGAGAGGCAGAACAACAGCAAAAGCGCATGGGGGTGACCTACTATTCTCAGAGCCCCCGGCAGTGCCCACCTCCGCTTGTGCTTGGAGGCAGTCAGCACATCCGCGTTATGTAGGATCACGGCCCCCCCACCCTAGAGCTGCAAATCCAGTTTCTCAGGTCGTGCATCCGCCCCGAATCCCTCCACGGGCTGGAGCTGCGCGTCCATCTTCCAGAGTTAGACAAGTAGGCTAACCTCTCCCAGCAAGACCAGGGAGCGTGACTACTGGGTCTATCCAGACAGGTGACCCGCATCACGATTCTAGACGTGCTTGTGGGGCCAGAAAGGCCGTCCACGCTTTCCCGCGTTCTGGTGTGCATGCTGTGGGCCCAGATCCAAGTGTACACTCGCTACGGGCAGAAGTGGAAAGTCCTCAACTGCGTCTAAGTCTGTGCAGGAGTCTTGGGCTACTCAGGCAATGAGTCCACCAACTGGTGTACCCCGTTGCTGGAGCGAGGCCGGCCGACGACGCGTGCTCCTTGCCTTCTGGAGCTGTGTGCGCAGCTGGCTGCATGATGTCGCGAAATAGCCGTGGCTGGCAGCGCCGCCACAGGTGTTCGCCAGGGCAGCCAGCCAGAGCTGAGGGGGCGCGCAACATGGCAGCAGAGCGGGCTACGCGGCGGAGGAAGCGCACGCGTGCGTGCGGCTGGTGCTCCAGGGTGCTCGTGAGCGACCAGGCAAGAGTAGTGCCCCGGTGCCGCCTGTGCGGTTAAGCCTTCTGAAATTGCAGTGCGCCTTCTCCAGTACTGCCCGCCCTCGCATGGCGCCACGACAGCGCAGACCTGCTGCTCGGAGAGCCCTCAGTTACAGCGGCGCGCCAGGCATCGGCAGCGGTCACCTGGCCACAGCGCTGCTGGGATGCAGGCACACCATGGGGCATGGCGCGGAGGTCTTGAAACAACTCTGTGCTGTATCACCTGAGATTCCCCAGGTGATGGCGCTTCTGCGCCTTTCCAGTGCATCCTCCCCGTATCCCTGGCCTGCCCTTGGCCGTCCCTAGCCTCCCGCTCCCCAGGTCCCGGGCCCCAACCCCCACTCTCCCCAGGGGCCTGCATATCGCCAGTTTTGGCCTCCTGGGCCTCCAGCCTGGTCTTGGCCTTTCACCTCGAAGTCCTCTCGGGCAGTCGCATTGCGTTTGCGAGACACTCCCGCCTTTGCGGGATGGGCGTGGCAACTGCTGGACTGGCAGCGCCTCATGTGAGGGCCTCCGACGGGAGCTGGGCACCCCTGAGGGACTCGGGAGGCTTGGCGGGTGGGGCGGGTGGGACGACATGGCCCCGGCCCTTTTGGCCCCTGGACATGGCATGAGTGAGTGGCGCCAGGCTCAAGGACGTTAGCGAAATCACGAGGCTTGCCAGGTGTGGGAGTGATCGTACGTGGCACTAGCGGGCGGGACTCTGGCAGGAGGGACGTCGGGCGCGACCAGCGCGGCCTAAGGAACGGAAGGGAACAGAAGGAGGGAGGAGGGGGCGGCGGATGAAGATGAGAAGGATGATGATGAGGAGGAGGCGGATGCCACGATGATGAAGACGGCGACGCTGCTTGAGCAGTTTTTGGTGAAGGCCGACCACGATGTGGAATGTCGAATGCTATTGTCTCTTTCTATGACCGCCTCCTGGACAATCATCGAGCTGGCTCCCGCCAGGGGTTCGTGTTTTGAGCGTCGGCGTATAGAGCAAGCGCGTGATTTGTTCTGGCACGGCGCGCTGCTAGTTCAGCACTCTTGTGAAGGCATTGCGGCTGGTGCCGCCGACCCTGAAGGCTGGACCTCCCCCGGGACCCCCGCTGGCGCCCCCCTCTCAGGAGGGGAAAAAACACACAGACACAATTAATCGTCGATTCCCAGAAAATATGGGAAAATATGGGAAGTGGGGGGGAAGACAAAAACCCAGAAACTATACGAAAATATGGGGGATATTTTTATTTGTGTGTATTTATTTGTGTGTCCCAGTTCCCCTTCACCCTCTTGGGACCCGCTGGGATCCCTGGGGGGGGGTGGTATATTCGGACCTGGGACCTC